CTGATTTGAAGCCTTGGCTCTGCTACTTAACAGTAGTATAACCATCAACAAATTAACAAATTATTTACGCATGATGGTGCTCCCTTATCTATAAAGGATATCTTCCAAGATCCCCAATAGATGCGTGAGAACCACGGATAGTACCTAATTGTTTATATACTATGATTTCTTCCTATGCAAACATACCTATGATAAAGTTTAATTTATAAATTAGGTAGAGTTGTATAACAACAATAATAAAATGTAACAAGTATAAAAATGGTAAAAGTTTTATGCATGTGGTACACTCTCTCTCAAAATATCTTATTGTACTGTACTCACTTTTTTTATGATGATGTGAGATGATCACATGCCTACATGATGAGATGATGTGAGGTGAATGACGTGGTCACTGTGGCATAGCTTTTAGGCTGCTCTTCTGTTTCAGGACCAAGGTAGACCATGGTAACTAAAACTACAGAAAGTGAAACCATAGATAAGGGAAGACTCCTGTATTAAATCTGTTTCTTCTCATCAGGAAGGATTAATAATAATAACTTCATGAGATGTTGTAAGCATTGAGTTACATAATAAATATAAAGAACCACAAGTGTATATTATTATTGATACTGTTTGTTATTATTAAACATCCTTATCATTAGTGTTATTTTCTCTATCCAAGTGAAGATCTTTTATAGAACAAAGACTGTGTGCCAAAATTTGTGACTAGTTAAACAAATCCTAATAGAATGTAATTAGCATGGTAGAAAATATGAAAATAATATCAACCCCAAATGTATAAATATTTTTCCTGATATTAAAGTTTTAAGAAATGTAACAATTATGGTCTTGTTTATACCCAAAACCATCATCTGGTAATCCCAGGACTGATAAAAATTTTTTAAAAGTTAGAAATCTGACTTAACAAAAGACAAACACTGATGACTAAAGAGTTAAATTTAGGAAAAGGACACTCATTTTGAAAGACAACTTGATATTGATCGATATTATCTGTATTTTTAAGTGATGAATAGAAACTAAAAGACTTGTCAACTATTCTGATATTCTAAGATAAACAACAAAAAGTAAAATTTTGAAGAAAATGGTTTCCAGGGCTAAAACATGATGCCTTTAATGAGATTTAGAAATTCAGAAATCAAAGTCCAGAGTATAACCATTTGGGGACCTAAAAAAAAGCAATTGAAGATAATGCCAATTAGTCACATATTTTCAGTGTTCCAAATTCATTTTTTACATAACTTTTGACAGTGTTGACTACTTCTGCCTTTTTAAAACTTACCTTGTGCATTCTGGAATTTTGGTCTTAGTCAACTTTCTAATTTCATACCTATTCAGTTTCAGTTTTCTTTCCTATCTCTCCTTGGTATTTTTTTTTTAATTTTTTTAAATGTTTATTTTTGAGAGAGAGAGAGGGAGAGACAGAGAGACAGAGTGTGAATGGGGGAGGGGCAGAGAGAGAGGGAGACACAGAATCTGAAGCAGGTTCCAGGCCCTGAGCTGTCAGCACAGAGCCCAATGCAGGGCTTGAATTTATCAGCCATGAGATCATGACCTGAGTTGAAGTGGGATGCTTAACCAATTGAGCCATCCAGGCCTCCCTCTCCTTAGTATTTTTAAAGAATTATATTGTTGATCTTTTTTCTTCTCTTTGAAATTAGTTTCATTCTTAGGATTTTATCACTGATGATTCCTAAAATTGCCCAATCTAAACTTTATTTCTTTTAGTCCTTCAGTAAATACTTCTCTGAACCAGAAGGCACAGATAGGTTCTACACTTCCTCAGAGTTTACAGTCTTTTGGATATACAGAAAGAAAAATGAGCCGTGATTGTATTTAAGTTCTATGAAAGTAAAGTATAAAATCCTATAAAGGCACATAAGTGGCACCTGGATGGCTCAGTCAGTTAAATGTCCAATTCTTGATTTCAGCTCAGGTCATGATCTCATGGTTTGTGGGTTTGAAACCCACATCAGGCTTTGAGCTGCCAGAGCGGAGCCTACTTGGAATTCTCTCTCTCCCTGTCTCTCTCTGTCCCTGTCTCTCACTCTCTCAAAAACAAATAAACATTAAAAACAAATTTACGCATATAACGAGCCCTTACCTCCCCTGTATGCTAAGACATTCAGGGAGGAAGTAAGGAGTGGCCCAGAGGTGACAAAAAAATGAAATGGTTGTTATAGTTGGGAGATCTGTTATACTGAGCAAATAAATACTTTCAGAAAAAAAAAAAAAAAAAAAAAAAAAAGATATTGAAGACAATGAAAGCCTGGTTTCCCACTGTTAGAGAAAACATTTGAACATAAAAACGAAGAAGATTAAATATAATCCTGAGGTTTTACATTGGAATTGGAGCTGTTGACTTGGTGTTGGAGAATATGAATTTATGGTATGTGTGTACCACATACACACAGATATGGAGTTAGAGATGTATATATGTGTGCATATAAATGTGTGTACATACACACATAGATTTTTGAGTGCAGCATCTACTGGCAGAGCCAAAAGGCAATGTACCAAAGTTACAACGAGCACTCTGAGATCTCAGATCTTGATGTCTACATGTTGTCCTCCACTAGAAGGAATCAGGGCCCTGGGCCCTTTGAAGTAAGGTCTGATTTCAGAGCTAGGCTAGAAAAAATATGAGATGAATTTGAACCATCTTGTGCCAGGAAGAAAATGCTCAAAATATGATGAGGTTGTGTCAAAAGATCACCAGAGCCATCTTGAATATTTGAACACTGGGCAAATCTTAAATATTAAAATAAGTGATGATAGTAATAGATTACAACCATTGAGTAAAATAGGAAGAAAAAGAAAAGAAAGAAAGAAAGAGAAAGAAAGAAAAGAAAGAGCTGTTCCTTACAGTATATGCCAATTAAACAGCATAGAAAGAATGATAGACCTAGAATATCTCCATTTGGCAACTATCCTAGTACTTAGGAGTTGTCAGTGGATGCTGGTGGGTTGATAAACTATTGATGATGAATGGGATGCTGACAATCTTGGAATAGCTCTAACACTGAAATTAATCAATTACAAAGAGTAAAAGTAATGACCTTATGGTGTACAAACATGGGAGACACTGACAAGATTAGATGAGAAAGGTTAACATCCCAGTAATGGGATGAGTAAGCATGATGTGCCTCTGATGAGTTTCACTGAGAAGAGCACAGCATCATTGCTGCAGTATTCCTTTTAAGAAAATAGGACCAAAGTCTGGAGCATGAAGAGGCATCAGAAGATCATCCCATAGAATTTAAGATCCATTCTCTAGAACTGTTAACACGACAGAGACTAAGGAATAATTCTTGCTTGGGAGAGGGTGAAGAAATATTACAGTTAAATGCAACATGTGGTCCATGAGATCCTGGCCACAGAAAGTAAAAAGGAACATTGCTGAGACAAATGGCAAAATTTGATTGAGATCTGTGGCTTGGATGGTAGTGTTATATCAATGTGGATTTCCTGTCTTGGAAAGTTGTGTTATGGTTATGTACAGGAATGTCCTTGTTTAGAGAACTATACTCAGCAGTACTTAGAGGTGATGAGGCATAATGTCTGTAGCTTGCTCTCACACAGTTCTGAAAAAGAGTGAGGATAACAAGTATATAGAGAGAAAGAGAAAGGGTAATGGGGCAGATGTGGGGAAATGTTAACAGTTGGGCAATTGGTGTCAGAATATATGGGAATCCTTTGTACTGTTTCTGTAAATTTGAAAATTAAAAAATTACATATACGTTATCTTAAAGCAAATGGAGAACTTATACCAGAATGGGGTTAAATGGAAGAATTTTGTTAGGAAGTGATCCCTAAACTGAGATCTGAAATATGTCAGCAAGGGGCACCCTTTATTGAGCTTCTTGAGAAGAGAGATTGTTTCGTTTTAGTTTACTTTTGTTTTGTTTTTAATGGTTGGCATTTAGGTATTATTGATTAAATGCATGAATTGAAAAAAACTGAAGGAAGTTTTCTATGACTGGAAGTTAGCAAGTGTGGTAGTGGCAAGAAATTAGGCTAGTAAGGTAAGCAGAGAACAGGGCATATAGTAGCATATATATTCGGTACACTTGTAAGAAAATAAAATTGAAAGAATTTCAAAAATGGCTTAAGAAATGGCAGCTCTCTACTGTATCCCAAGTGATAACAATTAAGAAAACAGTTCTGATCAGATATTTATTTTTTTTGATGTTGAATTTCTTTTGAAATTTTTAACTAATTAGACAAGATTTATTCTGCTGTAGGTTAAATTAGTGGACCTTTATAGAAATTCTTGCCAATTATCAGGCTTACGTGTACATATGAATGAATACACGTATACTTCATAGGATCAGAAAATTTGAATCATGTACGGTTTGGCCCAGCTCTAAGTGCTGCTCAGACAGCTGTTAGAAACTTTTGATTCAGTATATATCCAGTAGCACACCTTTCATAAAATAAACCCTGTCTGTTAATCTCTCCACCTTTTTCAGTTCTAGTTTTCTTTTTTCCATTCGGCCAAATTGTTTGAACTTAACTATAGAGTATTATTTTTCTAAATAGTTTCTTAGGGAAAATGTACCCCCCCAAAAATTCATTGGCCCCTTGGTATTTTAGTCCTGCTGCTATTATAATTTCAAATGAGTAAAATAATCTGTAGAATGTAGAGAGATTACATTCAAGAAGCGAAATCAGTTATTTTCGTACCGTTAGTAAATTAATTTTGGGGAAAGGCATAATACTTCTCAGGAAGAAATAGGGCAATTTTTGCCTAGATATTTGTTCCCAAGAAGTACTTACTTTATTTACCACAAAATTGGGCAAGGTAGAATCTTTTTAGAACTAAGAACTTATATAGGGATATAGGGCTATAAAATTTATAAATTAATGTGAAATATAAGAAATCTTGCAAAATACTCAAATGTATTCTGTAATTATAGGAATTTAAAAAGAGAATTGTTAAAGTGTGTATTTTATAATTATTTACAACATTTCTTTTTGTTTTCTTTTACAAAATATGCTAGGCACTTGGTGGTGTCCCAGGAAGTCAGCCATTACTTCCAAGTGGAATGGACCCAACTCGACAACAAGGTGATTACTTTAAAGTAAAAAAGTGAAACTGACATGCAGAATCTCAAAGGAAATCCTTTATTTTTTAAGGACAATCTTATCTGTATATATGTTTTATAAGTATCCCAGTTGCATTTTTGCAGGTAACATGGCCAAATGACTTGTATTTTCAGCTTACTCTCACAATTATGCATGATAGTGAGGGTAGTAATAATAAAAGAAATAGTAATTAAATATCCAAAATCCATATTGTAACTAATAACTTCTAAAACCTTTTATATAACTTCTAACTAATGGAAATTTAAATGATTACATCACATAAGATATCTTCTGCCTTTTTCAGATAGGTTAGTCCATCTGAAAGATGAGCAGGAGGAAAGAAAATGCTAAGCAACAGTAGCTTGATTATTTTAACAAATCAATAATTCGGTCCTTCCAACAGAGATGTTTAGGTACCACAGATAGGTATGGCTCTAATACACTGTTCCAAGGTAAAAGGAGCAAATCATATGAGAGATGTATTTCAGTACAGACTAGGAAGAAGAATTTAATCTCAGTGAATGGAGAGTGTAGTCAAGTAGCAGTAAGAGGCAAAAAAGTAGCCATGGAAGCCAAGATGAGATGATGTCAATAACCCAGTCCCTTACTAAGTAAGATTTAATGTCAAGCAGAGAGGAGGCTACTGGCTCCTGGTTTAGCACTCATGCTCATTACTTTGCTAGTATCTTCATACCTTTTTTTTTTTTTTTTAAAGGACATCCAAATATGGGTGGGCCAATGCAGAGAATGACTCCTCCAAGAGGAATGGTGCCCTTAGGACCACAGGTAAATAATCAGCACAAAAAGCTAGATGCTGAGTTTTCTGCCTTCATCTTCTGTAAATAAACTATATCATTTGTTGGCTTTTATTATATGCATTAAAGGCTTGATATAACATAATTACTAGGTTCTTGAGGAACAGAATATCTGTGACATGTCCAAAATGATGTGACAACAAACCATATTTTAAGAGTGCTATCACATATGCCTTTAGTACATTTGAAAAAATATGTAGAAATACAATAAAGTAATTATTATAAAAATAACTATTAATTACCTTTTTGTTAACTATGCTGAGGAAATATAAAAATATTGTAATAATTATTATAAAAGATAAGCATATAAGTTAAATAAAATGCAATTGAGCTAAGCTATTAAATAGAATAAGCAGCATAAAATATATTTCTAGAAGTCTTGTAAAGAATGCCATTGGAAATTTATTATATTCATATTCATAGAATATGAACATAATAGCTATTTAGAAATAAACATTAAAATGGGTGTTAGTGAGCAAGCGTAATCCTATCAGTGTATATCAGATGTTAGCCTTCTTCTCTATCAAAATTTCCCAGAAGTACACAATATGAGTTTGAATCTGTCCTACCTGTTGGTGACATATATTTTTTTAAAATATGGTGTTATAGAATAGCAGTTATTTTTGGTAAAACATCCTTTTGTCTCTCTTGGGAAAACTGCATGAAGTAGAAATTAATGTTATAATGTTATGTTTCAAGGAAGCTAGCCCTAAATCCAGAATTTTAAATTTCTGTCTGATGGGTCAGAGGTTAGTATGTCATAATACTGGCTAAAAGAGTGAATTAATTTATTTTCTTTATTCTTTCCAAGAATAGCTTTATAAGTGACAGTTTTAGGAACTTGTTTTATGTATCTACTTTTTAAAAATTAATATTTTGTTGTGTGCCCAAAGGAGTCAGAAAATCAAGAATCTAACACTGAGATAATATGAGTTAGACCTAGGAGTTTCCAACCAACATTATAATTATATAGGTATACACACACACACACACACACACACACACACACTCATATATATATATATATATACATACAATTATATATATATGTATAAGTATATATGTATATATACACACATATATACATAAATTATATATATATACACACAGTTATATATATATACACGTATATATATATAATTATATATATATATAAGTGTATTGAAACACCAAGACCATATAACCAAAATTTTCAAAGATACTATATTTCATTAAAAAAATAAAACCTAATATGTAAATATTTGACACCCTCAGAGTCAGAAAGAAATTATTTGTTTAGTCTCATTTATTTCCTAGTATTTTCTTAAGATCTTATAAAACTGATTTAGATATTTAAATCATTTTCCCCTATGTCTATTCATGTTAGGGTTGATGATGTATGTGATCAACCATCAGAAGCTATTGATATCAATTAGAATTCATAAGATCTACAGGATATTTCATTGACTCAATATATATTTTAGTTTTTAATGAACTAAGCCAGTTTGACTATACAGAACTTGAAGGATTTTCCCCCCAAAATTTCATAATAGATACATTTTTTTTAATGTCTATTTATTTTTGAGAGAGAGACAGAGATAGAGAACAAGTAGGGGAGGGACAGACAGAAGGAGACACAGAATCCGAAGCAGTTTCCAGGCTCTGCAGTGTCAGCACAGAACCTGACAAGGGGCTCAAACTCATGAAGCATGAGGTCATGACCTAAGCTGAAGTCGGACACTAAACCAACTGAGCCACCCAGGCGCCCCTAGATACATTTTAAATATACATAAAAATGTGGTGCCTGTAATTTAGTTACCGTTCTTCATTCAGTTCACTGATTTTTAAACTAGCGGCTCTTTAAACTTTTGTCCTCCCAAACCAATATTTTCAATACTTCTAAAAACTAGAGTCTGATTTAAGGGTCAGTTTTGCAGTGTTTGAAAGATAAAACAATGGTTACTTAAGTTGTATGCGCACTTAGATCTCATTTGGAAATGCAGAAATAGAAAGCATACTGGTCTTTATGTTTTATAAATACCTAGCTGTTTATGTGTTTTGTGTTATAAGTAAATTATAATAAAAAAGTAAATGAGTAGATTTCTAGTATGTAATCTCGTATTGATGAGTTTTAATACCCAAGTTTATCATGTAAGTGTGAATTCTTTCTTTGTATTTTCAAAATCAGAGTAGTTTATTTCTGCCATTTGGATTAATATCCTTGCTATGTATATCTTCATAGTTTGAGGTAGATAAAATGTTTTGCTTTGAATTTACTTCAGAAACAAGAACTACCTACATTAACGTCTTTAAATCACAGTATACAGAGTGTCAATGGTTAAAGGAAATTATTTATACATGCCATTACTTGAATGAAAAGGAATCCTATTAATATGAGCGGCAAATTAGGTAAAATGTGAGGTAACATAATTTGGAATGAAGGATTCTTTTGAGATATTTATCTATAACACCTGACATATGAAACTTAGGCACTATAAACTATGAGGTTTGTAAAAGTTATCTGTGTTTCTTGAAAGATAATGAGAAAAACAATTCTCATAGCAGGTATTTAACCATACAGATGCTACCCAAGAACAGAATGCATCTGCTTTTTTCTAGTTGAATTATGGAAATAGTCTCTGTAATATTGTTTCTAGTCTTTTACACAAACATAAAATACGTCTCTTTTTTTTAATTGTAGATCTCATTTCCATAATATTTTGAGCTTAAAACAAGTATAATGGAGAAGGACAGTAGTTATCTGTTAGAACAATTGAATTCCTAAAACAAAGAAATATATATAATCTAAGGATTTTTAGATAAGGCTGATTTAGGCAGATCACACCTACATTATAGTAAACATGTGCTTAATGTTTATCACATGAATGAAGAAATAACATCAGCTCTAAATCTTGACATATTTTTCCCACCTCTTTACCTATTTTATTTTTTTATTTTTTTTATTTTTTTAGTGTTTTATTTTTATTTCTGAGATAGAGGGAGAGACAGAGCATGAACAGGGGAGGAGCAGAGAGACAGGGAGACAGAATCAGAAGCAGGATCCAGGCTCCGAGCTGTCAGCACACAGCCCGATGCGGGGCTTGAACTCGCCGTGAGATCATGACCTGAGCCGAAGTCAGATGCTTAACCGACTGAGTCACCCAGGCGCCCCCCCACCCCGCCCCACCTTTACCTATTTTAAATTTAAGTTCAGGGATAATATATACAGTTATCTATTTAATCAAGAAAAATATCTTAATACCATATCTGAAGACATTTTTCTACTTGCTTGTGTAATAAGATATACTTAGCTTGTCTGTGTTCTTATGCTCACCAGGTTCCATATGACTAACAGAAAAATTTGCCAAGACTATATAGTTAGTTCTAGTTTCTCCAGAAATCTGAAGGATAAATGAGTTGTATACAGGTAGGAACATACCATGATTTCCAAATCAAATACCTGGCTGGAGTGGAGAAATAGTGAGATGGGAATACATAGTAAGTTGTCATGTAAAGAGAGTTAACTTTTTCTTTATTTTCAAATTTAAGATAGGAGGTAGAATTCAGTTCAATAAAGGGAAGAACTTTCTAGAAAGTAAACTACCCAATCATGGAGAAACTATAAACTTTCCAAGCAGAATCTGAACAGCCATTTTGTCAGGAACATTGCATTGGGAAAGAGATTAAACCAGATGGAATTGTATAGCTGCCATCCGCTTTAAAATTCAGTGATTCTAAATTAGCTCTTACCATTCTGCCTTTGTTGATACCACTTGAAAAGCCAGTTGTTATTCTTTCTTATCTTCCTGTTTTCTTTTGCTTCAGATTATTCACAAAATGAAAATATTTTGTAAATCTATCAAATTATGTATTGGATAATTTCTTACTCATTTCCTGTGATACTTGAGCACTGGATATACCAAGATGAATAAAACAGATTCTACCTTCAAGGTACTTATTGTTTACTAGGAGACACAAATACATAAAGAAAAACTATCATATATTAGAAAAAAAAATCTAGAAAAGAAATATGCATACTCTGTCAGGGAATCATTACACAAACAAGCATATAATTCTGTTACAGTTGAGGGCTCAAGAGAAGCTGGTGAGAAGAGGGCTCATTTAAGTTGGTCCCTTATTAATGGCGACAAGCAAGAGCAGCTACAGTGTTTGAGCATGTGGTGTCATGCTTTTAATGCACCGAGCACTATGATAGCTGTTTTAGATGATTTTGTTTTGTCTTCCAACAAGCTTTTAGAAGACATGATAAGGAATTTGGCTGAGTGGACAATTGGGACAAGTATTGGCCCATGATCACACATATAGAAAGAGGGACAGAGGAAATGGGGCAGTGGCAACAGACGTTCAAACCAATATCTTTCTATATCCAGAGCGATAAAGAAAACTAATGTTTCCCTTGATAAAATGAAATAGATCTTCTAAGACCAAAAATGAAGGGATACTTTTCTTTTGAAGCATTTCTATTATACTTTACCATCCAGATTTTATTTCCAATGGCTAACTTTCTTCTCAGACTTCTGGCTAATATTGCTGGTGCCACTGCCATGCTTGGTCCAGAGGTTAAGGGAAATGACTATCATTTTAACTAATGACTCAAGTATGGATAGAAACCTTTCTGTCCCATAGCACATACAATTGGGATGTTTAAGTAAGATTTCTTGAAATTAAAAGGTAATAAACAATGAGAAGAACATGTAACTAGGTCATTTATACACTGTGGTTTACTCTCTGGAGTTAACAGTCTCATTGAGTATTTCCTTGTCATCTTAGTACCTACTACACAAAAGGCCATGCTAGGAGTTACCATGAGTGTAAAAGTGTATTGCGTGTTTCTGAACTACAAGAAATCCAGTAGGCTGGAGGGTATAGTTGGGAGTAGGGGAAGAAGGTGAAGATAATAGGAAATGAATACAGGAAATACAGGCTAGGGCTGATCTGCAAATACCATGATAGAGCCATGCTAAGGAATAAACATTTGATAGGCAGTGTGGGTCATCATGGCTCTTAAGTGACATAAATAAGAATGAGTTTTAATTTTTTTTAATGTTTATTTATTTTTGAGAGAAAGAGCGCATGCATGTGAGCAGGTGGGAGGTGGGGGGGCGGGTTGGGCAGAGAGAGGGAGACACAGAATCTGAAGCAGGCTCCAGACTCTGAGCTGTCAGTACAGAGCCCGACGCGGGGCTTGAACTCACAGACCACGAGATCATGACCTGAGCTGAAGTTGGACGCTTAACTGACTGAACCACCCAGGCACCCTTAGAAGCATAGTTCTGGAGGCAGCATGAAGAATAAATTGGGAGAGGGGAAAGGCTAAGTCAGAGAGACCAATGAAGACAGTACATTAGTCTCAGTAAATGACAAAGATTAGTGATATGAAGGAAAGCACTATTTCAAGAACTATTTCACAGGTGGAATCAATACACTTTGGTAACTGACTGGATTCAGGAATTGAAATAAAAGGAAGAGACATCATTGAGCTCCCAGAGGTTCTTAGCCTCGACTGTTGTACAGCAGGTGATGCCACAGAACTGACTGAAGAAACAGTGGGAAGAATGCAGTTGTGAGAAGAGAACATTGAGTTTACTTTTAGATATGTTGAACATGAAGTGGTATCCAGTTAGAAACAGTCCAAATGAAGTTCAATATAGGAGTTTTCAGGAGTTTAGGAGAGATATCATGACAAAATTTAACACATTTGGGATTCCTAAATCATTGTTGAACTAATGGTACCAGATAAAATTACCTATAAGTGTGTATTTATTTAAAGGAATGCTACGGCTAGAACTTGGAGAAAAGCAACTTTTAAAGAGTGCAAAATAAAAGGAGTCAGCAAAGGAAATTGAAAAAGAGTAGTCAGAAAGGTTGTAGATAAAGTGCTGTGAGAAAGCCAAGCATGAAAGCAGTTGATAGTGTCAAAATATATTAACGTAAGAATGTTAAAAAAAAATCTTTTGGCCCTAATGGAAACTAAAGTAAGCTAATATGATATGCATGTTAAAACATTAAAATGTTTTTCTCCTTTGAATATACATAAGAGAAATTGACAGAAGCCTATTGAGTGATATGATTCATGTATACATACTTTAGTTTTCATATATTGTTGTACATGTTTGTATTAGTGCATTTCTCTATAGGATGTATTATTTTGTAAGCAGAAATAGTTTGCATTCAACTTTCTTGTTGGGTTCACCAGTCTGTTTTTTTTCCTTCAGATTTTATGGAATTGTTCTGGGTCTGACAATTTCAAACATGTTAACTAAGTCTTTTCTTTAAAAGTAGAGTTTTGGATTTATAAAATGTTTTATTTGTAAACATTCACTGTTATACAGATATTAGGACCTTAATAAAGATATGTTGCATATTATAATTGCAGTTGTACCTTAATCATTTAACATGCCCCAATGATCTTACATAGTCATGTAGTTTTTAGAAGACACAGAGCAAAGTAATTGTTAAAATAGAAGCAATAGTACAAGAGTGGACCCTTCAGAGAAAGAATTGCACAGGCCTTATCCAATCAGGAGTTATGTAGGGAAATCATTAACCTGCTCTCCTTTCTTTCCCCCCTCCTCTTTGGTTTTGTTTTTTTGTTTTGTGGTAGTCTGACCCTTGGTTATCATTACAGAACTATGGAGGTGCAATGAGACCCCCACTGAATGCTTTAGGTGGCCCTGGAATGCCCGGAATGAACATGTAAGCAAAATGCCATATTATCCTGTTTAGTATTCTATTTTCTGTCTTCTGAAGTCACACTAATTTGTAACACACTTTCAGCTCCTCAATTTCTGTGTAGTATAAAATGGAACTGGTGTAAATGAACTAAACATGAGCACTAGTGTCTGCCTCGTTTTCACAACATACTCCCTTTTTCTTCCTTCCCTTGCAACCTTTAATTTTTTTTTCCATTTTCAAATGCCAAATGCCAACTTTTAGCCTGGTTTTCATGGTTCATTTATTTAATTAAAAATGAGTCTTTTATGTATAAACACAGCCTCCAGATAGTCCATACAAAACTGTAAAGAGATGCGGACACGAGGACCAGGACTTCACTCCACAGAAACAGACAATTGATACTAACTTCATTTTAACAGATACTAAATGATTCCTAAAAGATCTTAATTCTTATATATGAGTCTTTACTTTTGCTTTGTTGGGATCACTCTTAACCCAGGAAGCATTCTTTCTGGTATTATCTTCTATATTAAAAAACTTTCCATACTATAGGGTCATTTTTTTAATTTTCTTTTTAAGTTTATTTATGTTTGAGAGAGATACAGAGAGAGAGAGAGCAGGCAAGGGGCAGAGAGAGAGGAGAGAGAATCCCAAGTAGGCTTTGCACGATCAGCGCAGAGCCCAACTCAGAGCTCAATCCCACGAACCATGAGACCATGATGTGAACCAACATCAAGAGTCAGACACTTAACCAACTGAGCTACCCAGGAGCCCTGATAGGGTGAATTTTTGTTTGAAAATTAAGATGTGCAGATAAGGTGTAAACTGACAGTATTTTGGTTTGTTTTTTACTGTAAAGTCCTTTCAAGCCCAAAGAGCATGGTTGTTTCTATTACACCGAATAACGCCATCTATTAAGGAATTTTAACTTATTTTTCAATATCTAACTTGCCCTCAAAGTTCCATATACACCAGGTGTTTGTGACTTTCATTAATTCACTAAAGGGTCAATTCTATGATGTGGCCTAAAGAAAGCTTACCAGAAATAATGAAACCTTTCCATATAGGGTTGTGGGTAGTTTCCTCTAATATATTTTCCCATTAGTCCTTTGGTTACTTACATATCAAATTAGACAGCTCTGCCATCATTTAATGGCATTGAAGATATAATGAGACAAGTTCCTTTGATATAGTTAGGGATTTTTTAAGTTTCTGAAACCATTTTCATGGAAAGCAATTTTGCCTAAAATAGAAAATAGGTTAATAAGTGGCTACCAGCCAGACTCAAAACTAACAGAACAAGGGGAAAAAAGTAGGTCAAATTTTCCTATCACGTCTTTTTACTTTTAAAGTAAAAATGGGTAGACATGAAGTCTGACTTTTCTTAAATCTCTCAAAGGCTTAGCCTTTATTAATGGTTGTTACAAAAAGGAGTGATATTTTATGCTTAAATCAAAAGCTGCAACTCTTACCAATAGGATTTAGATGTATATAAAATTTACCTACCTGAGATTCTGACTTTAAAATGCAATAGCTTTTAGAAAATATAATTTTAAATACTATGTATAGATGTAAGGAGTATACATTTTGAATATTATGATCAGTTAAAAATTAGCATTAAATGGTAAGATTGTACCTAATGTCATTTTGTGTACTACACTTCATTATACTTAGCCATGTGGTCAACTTTAGATCAACCTGTTTTTGTTAATATAAAGAAAAAAGTTATTTTTATGTGACCATTAAGAAACTCAGCTGCTTAAAACTGTCTGGTTCTTTTCTCACATACACTTAAATAAACACATATGGGTGCATTAAATTCCCTAGACTATGGACACTAAAAATATGGTTGGAATTTTTAATATTATTTTTGCTGACATTTGCATTTGGGTTTCTCACTTAAATACACTCAGATCATTTAAAATATTTTTATTACCCTATATTGTATTATTCGTATAATTTCTGTTTTTTTAAAGTGACTGAGCCTTAACAGACTCAGATTTCCATTATTTCTTACTATTGATTTATTTGTGGTCTTATGTAATTTTCAGTTTTCTATAAATTAGTATATTCTTAAAGAACAATGAAAATGTAAATATTTCCTTTTAACAAGGAAGTTCTGAAGTACGTAAGATCCAAACAGACAGAATAATTCATGTGTTGATATTGGCCCCAACAAAGCAAAAGTGAATTTAAAGAGACATAAAAAAATAAAATGTATCATCTCCATTGTACTCAATAGAGTAAACTTTTTTGAAATTCACTTCATAATTTAGTATCTTTAAAACATATACTAAATTCATGTTTTGGCAAATAAGTATTTCTAACTAGCATTTGTGGCTTTCTTCACGTCACTTTTTTACATGTTGGGTAATTTAAAAATTAAAGGTAAAGGCATTAGAATAGTGTTACTTTAAGCTATGTTTTTAACAGTCTTAGATATTTGCATGTTGGAGTCAGGTGAGACCTGCCGGCGAATCATACCTGGATGAGTTTTCTTTAGCTTGTCACTTTTTCTTGTTTGCCATGAAAATATAATGACAGTGAAAAATAATACCCAACTGTGCTCACAAAAGTAATTAAATACTGTATACCAACTGGCAAACTATTTGGAACAAAATTTTGGTAGTTTTATTTTTACAATTATTGGTTGTCTCCATAGAACATAGTTATTCTGACATAATTTTTATATTTCAGTGCTCTGAACTCAAGTTATTTATAGTATCATCTAAAATTAAAGAGTATACTTCTAATGTTTCTCTAACTACTATTGTATTTTTACAAATAAAAGCCTAATATCAATTTCAGTACTTTAAAGTAGAATTTACAAACTACAGCCACAATGTAAATGTTTTCAAGTGCATTATGGATAAGTTTTTTAAAAGAAACTATTTCTAAATTAACCGCATTTTTATAAATTTCCAGAGAGTTTAGGATTCAGCATTATAACATTTCTAATTCAACTTTGTATACATTGGTATTTTGTAAAACTAAGAGGGCAAATAATTTCAAAGGATCTAGACCTTCTTGTTATCCTGTAGAATGATAAATTTTCCGTAGTTATTGTCTTGAAATAAAATGACTGTACAGCAAAAAAATTTTTCTCTACAGTAATCATAGTTGCTTTTATTTTATCAAGTCCGTATACACTTACCAAAAAATACATGCTTCTTTTAAATTACATTTTTCTCTTTGTTTTTTAAATGAGGCTATCCTGATTCTACTTCAGACTATACCTATATAGAAATCTCCATTCAAAATAACTCCTGTATTATAGTGTGTAAATTACTTTCTTGATAATACTGCTGGTCCTCAAAAGGTGTGGGAATTACTGAGCTTATGTGGTTGTTCTAATAGAACTTCTCGCTAATATAACCCCCATTTTATTTAGCACTTTTTGTGAAACTTTGTTTTCAATCACAACGGCAGTGTTGGGAGAAATTTGGCTTATCCACATGAATTTTTGTTTTTAGTTTTTTTTTAATGTTTATTTATTTTTGAGAGTGAGAGAGAACATGAGCTGGGTAGGGGCAGAAAGACAGGGGGACAGAAGATCTGAAGCAGACTCTGTGCTGACAGCAGAGACCCCAGTGTGAGACTCGAGCTCACAAACTGTGAGGTCATGACCTGAACTGAAGTCAGTCGCTCAACTAACAGAACCACCCATGGGCCCCCTCCATGTGAATTATTAATACTTAACCTATCATATTAAAATGCAATGGGGGCACCTGGCTGACTCAGTCGGTTAAGTGCCTGACTTTTGATTTCAGCTTAGGTCATGATCTTATGGTTCTTGAGATAGAACCCCATGCCAGGCTCTGTTCTAGCAGCTTGGAGCCTGGTTGGGATTCTCTCTCTCCCTCTCTATCTGCCTCTCCCCTGCTCATGCTCTCTCAGATGGGCTCTTTGTCTCTCAAAATAAATATATAAACACTTCAAAAAAAAATAAAATCCAATGTGATATGAAATACATAGTGTGCTGAGACTAGATTAGTATTTGTCAAATAACTGAAATGTGTAAAAGGTATTGTTATTGATAATGTAATATTTAACATTTAATTGAATGCTGTTATTTAAGTAAAATGTTTAGTTATTTAACATTTAATTTAGCATGTTAATTTAACATTAAATAATTTTTAAATGATAAATAAATATGATATTTAATCTTATACAGTCCTATTTTTAAAATTATGAGATCATTATCAACTTAACATCATTGTATACAAATTTTTGCCATGATTTGTATATAGCATTTTTTTTAGATAGAAAGCATGAAGGTGGGGGAGAGCAAGAAAGGGGGAGAGAGAGAGAGAAAGAGAGAGAGGGAGAGAGAGAGAGAGAGAGAGAAAGAGAAAGAGAGAGAGAGAGAATCCCAAGAAGGCTCCATTCTCAGCACAGAGCCTGATGTGTGGCTCAATTCCATGACCCTGGGATCATGACCAAGCCGAAATCAAGAGTATGATATTCAACCAACTCAGCCACCCAGGCACCCCTGGATATAGCATATTTTTTGTGCTGTTTTAAGATAAATATTTCCCAATTTCTTTACTATGTTTTATTTAACATCACACAAATTATGTGGATTAACATCAAACAAATAAAATGTTTCACTTGGTAAATACATACCATATGTTTTACCTCACTTTCTGTCCATTAGGACATTGAATCCTGTATGTAAGATCATCTTTCTAAAGTGTTCCTATAATTAAGTGTAAAATCATCATCATCAACCCTATCTTAATGAGGCAACAGGTTCCAGAGACAGTACAAGTACATGCCCCTAACCTTCTCCCTGTGCACAATACTTTGACCAACTCCTCTCTGGCATCTCATTTTCTCCTTTATTCCTCAAGCAGAATAGGAGAAAATTGTATTTGGGTACCCTAATAGAGCCCAGGGAAAGAATTTTCATGTACTTCCCTGCTGTTTACATCCCTGGGGAATTCCAAACAAAATGAAAAACAATTCTAAATAGTCCAAGCTAACATGGGTAATATAGCTAACTTGGACAGCTTCTATCTAACATATGAGAATTTCAGGGTTAAGGTCTCTGCAGTAAGAATCAGGGGACATGTTTTTTTGTTGTTTTTTTTTTTAATTAAAAATTTCCTCTGTCTTTTTGCTGCAGTTAGAAGGAAAAGGGAATCTTGAGTGACCCTAATTACAGAGGACCTGCTAACAGTAGTCTACTTTTTATCAAGCAGTATTTATTTCGGTATACTTAATACTGAAGCATGAGTACAAGAGACTTTTTCACTTAATTTTGTTTTAAAAGATTCATGTTCTTTTAAGCTATAGAATACAAAACCTTATCCACCACCCTAAAGTGAAGTAATATACTGACGTACATTGGATTAGATTATTTCCTGTTTATCTCAAGATTTACTCTGGCCACTGTCTTGACCTACAATTATGAAAACAAAAAAAGTGATCCCTTTTTTAAAAAGAAAATTGTCTGGGCACCTGGGTGGCTCAGTCAGTTAAGTGTCTGACTGTTGATCTCAGCTCAGGGCTTGATCTCAAGGTCATGAGTTCAAGCCTTGCATTGGGCTCTGCACTAAGTATGAAGCCTACTTTAAATAAATAAATAAATAAATAAATAAATAAATAAATAAATAAATAAATGTAAATTGTCAGTGGCACTGAGAGATAGATTAATACATGTATAAAGTAATCTGATAGTCTATGTGTGTTTTAAAAGAAGTCAAATTTAGTCATCTTTTATGTACATATATATATTTGTAGTTTAGTAAAAGCAATTATTTTATAGATATTGATATTTTAAAAATAATTTCACTTTAATTTTTAATGATATACAGGTGGCAGTTATCTTTGTGTCATAGGATTATACTTTATATTTATTTCATAATTAGTAATTTTTACCCATGTTTTTACTGTTACAGGTGATTATCACTTTTAGTGGTTATTACAGTAACTGAACTTAAAATAAAATTGGACCGACACAAAGTAGTTTGATTTGGGAAGAAAACTATATTGTGAAATGATCAAAATTTTTGATTTAAGAAATAAAAAATTTGTGAAAATACAGAGTAATTTCAGTGCCGACCTAGAACTGCATGGTAACTAAATTGTAAATGTTATATTTTATGATTTGTTATTGCTTATTGTGAAAGATTCAAAACATAAGTTAAAATTTCATTGATCATATTGTCTTACAGGGGTCCAGGTGGTGGTAGACCTTGGCCAAACCCAACAAATGCCAATTCAGTGAGTATATATATATTTTAATTTTCTTTGCACTTTCTAGCATTGAACAACAAAAATCCTGTTGCTTTTGAAAGCCCTGCAATTGGTTATATTAACTTTTTTAAAAAAGTAATCATTCAAAAAATATATTTCACATATATATTTTTAAAATATGTATAATTTTTGAAATGATGAAGTTTTTTACTTCACAGTCTAATGTAAACATGCATTCTATATGGATAAACAGACTTCAAAATTAAAATAGAAAATGTGATTTAGGTATACCACAGTAGCCTATATTTATTATAATATATATTTATCATAAAATGATTTGATCTTCTAAAATAATTATGGTAATCACTAAGTTGCCAGATAACCTCAATCTCTATCAGAGTTATTATGATTGTATTTATTATACTAGTTACACCTAGGTTTGCTCTCTCACTATTCCTGGAGGCAAGTGCGCATTTGCCCTGTCCCTATTGGCTGAATTGGTGTTCCTACACATCTATCTGTGTATATGACATGCACACATATACATTCTTCAGTATAGAGAGAGTTCTGCAGTGTACCTTTGTGTAGTGTGTGCATTGCACAAAGGTTCCTGACTCAAGGAAGTTGGTAGGGTACTAAAATACAGATTGTGCTCCACTTGTAAAGTCTATGAGTATCTGACCCAGCAAGGATGCCTTTTGCTAATATGCACAGAGGTACGCCCATTGACTAGCAATGACCTTAATGCTAAATAAACATGAAACGGATCCAATGTTTAAGGTTAATTTAAATTTCAAGAAAATGTGAAGTGAGGTATATGTGGTATAGAAAGAATTATCCTAAACTTATAGCTATTCTAAAGCTGAATCACTTTCTCCTCAAGTAAGCAATTATCATATTTTTAGAGAAAAAAATAATTTATATTATCTTCCTGTCTCTTAGTTTTAATAGCTAATTGAAATACAATTTGGAGTGGAGAGAGTGATAATCTTGCTTACATTTGGATCTTCAGTGTACTATTTAATCTTAACCAATCTTTCTTTTTTTTTAATTGAAATTTTTAAAAATATTTGAGAAAGTGAGTGTGAGCAGGGGAGAGGCAGAGAGAGGGGGGGAGAGAGAGAGAGAGAGAGAGCGCGAGAGAGAAAGAGAGAGAGAATCCCAAGCAGGCTCCATGCTCAACACGGAGCGTGATGCGGGACTCAATCACATGACCGTGAGTGACATCATGACCCAGGCCAAAATCAAGAGTCGGTCTTCCAGTCTACTGAGCCACCCAGGCGCCGTTTAGCAAATCTTTCTAAAATACTTTTTATCCAGATTATGTTATAATGTGAATGTGAATTCTTTCCTCTTCCAAAATTCTTTTAGTTTGCTTATATCCTTTTGGAGAGTTTACATTTCTATTTGCTTCTTGCTACATGCCTTTCAAATTCATTCAAGATTTCACTTTAAAATGGCATCTGGCTAGCAGCTCAACATACAGTTCTTTCAACTCCCTATTAAAGTACCCATAAAGGTACAGGAAAAAACAATTTTTTATAATACTGAAAACTGACTCTTCCTATTGCCAGAATCTGGAAAGACTTTCTATTCAGAATCTGCATTTCTGTCGAAACTGGATTAAAAAGCACAATTAATGGCACACCTTAACTATGTGAGCCTTCCCACCTAGAAGCAAGAAGACTCTTCTCTCCTTCCTCACTGTCAGCTCTATCAGTTATCCCTCTACTGCCCCTTGCAGGCAGCCACGTGTAATTCACACCCGCCACAGCCTTTCTCCAGCATTACCTCCTTTTACACACTCATCTGGAGACTCTGTCCTCCAAAAACTACTTGGGAAGGTGAGCAGGATTTGATATTGAGGATGGTGCATTGTACCAAGCAGGTATATTATCCAAGTAAGAGTATTGGATAGAGGCAGAGATGAGGAGAGATTTCTGCATTCTGCTCATGTTTAGTTTTGATGCACTCCACCTCTTCAGAATTTCATGGAGTGAAGCACTGTGGATAGGAGAACATACTATATTGGGTCAGCAGGTCTGCATTACTTTAGACCCTGAGAAACACTAGGGTAGGAGATATGCATATCAAACTGCCATCCTATAGTCAGTATGAAATGGGCATTTGACTAGCATACATGCGAGAAATAGAGTTGAAAATAATCCCTTGTGTTAATATATATCACGTGTGGATACATCTCCCCCTCACTGAAAGAAATGTGAATAGGGAGGGGCGCTTGGATGGCTCCGTCGGTTAAGTGTCCAATTTCAGCTCAGGTCACAATCTCATGGTTTATGAGTTTGAGCCCTGCGTCAGGCTTTGTGCTAAGAGCTCAGAACCTGGAGCCAGCTTCTGATTCTGTGTCTCACTCTCTCCCTGCCCCTCCCCCACTCATGCTCTGTCTCTCTGTCTCTCTCTTTCTCTCTCTCTCTCAAAAATAAGTAAGCATTTAAAAAAAAAAAGTGAATGGGGAAAAAAAGTAGGGAGAGCCCAAAGCTTTCTTTCCAGAAACGGAAAGGGGGTCATCATCCTGAATACAGAAAGGCAAAGTGTTCCTCTGAGAAATGATTTATTATGAGAACAAGAAAAAAAATAATAAAAAACTGATGACTTTTCTGGGAAAAACATAAGGCTTAAATGAAACAAAGCAAAAACAGTTTAAGAGGGATTTTTTCTCCCTAAATGCTATCGATTATATTCTAGTGACAACTTACCTATACTGTTTTGATTTCCAAGTTCCTTAGACTTCTTGTCCATGTGTGTAATTACAAATACTTTTTGTTTTTTATCAATACAATAAGTCTCTGACTCTTGAGGGTTGCATATTAAAGTGGTTAGTTGTTTTGTTTTTTGCTGTTTTCAAATATGTCTTTATTTGTTTGATCTTATATACTTTTTTTTCATTTTAAATGTTTATATCAAAGTAACCTTAGATTTATAGAAAAGTTACAAGAATAATACAAAGAACTTCCATACAGGCTTCATCCAGATTCCCAAGTTATACGACTTTTGCTCTATGATTTCTTCTCTCTGCATGTACATATTTTTTTCTGAATCATTTGAGCTGTATTTGAGTTGCTGACATGATGACCCTTTATCCCCAAATATGTCAGTGCATGTTTACTAAAAACAAATACATTATCTTTCATAACTACAGTAAAGATCAAAATTAGAAAGTAAACATTAATGTAATGCTGTTCTCTAATCTGCAAACCTCACTCACATTTCCCCAATTGTCCCAATAATGTGTTTCATAACAAAAGAAAATCCCAGTTCACTTGTTACATTTAACTGTCAGGACTTTTTGTCTTTAATCTAGGACAGTTCCTCAACTTATCTTTTTCTTAACCTTGCAGTTGTGTTTAATGCAAATCAGTTATATTGTAGAATATGCCATAATTTGGTTTCATCTCATGTTTCCTCATGATTAGATCCAGGTAATACATATTTGGTAGGAATACCACAGAAGGAATGTTGTGATTTTCTCAGTGCATCATTTCAGGAAGCATGTGATAAAGATTTGTCCCATTGCTTTTACTGTTAACTTTGTTCACTTAGTGAAGGGTGGTGCTTGTCAGGTTTCTCTTCTATAAAATTACTGTTTTTCCTTTTGTAATTATTAATTTGTGGAGATACACTTTGAAACTACAGTAAATAAATATCCTCTTCTTCCTCATACTTTCATCTGCTACTTTCGGCATCCATTGGTGATTCTTGCCCCAAGTGTTATTTTGCTATGTTGGTTGCCAAATGGCTGTTTTCTGTCTTTCCTTCTTCATTTATTAATTGACTCTACTACAGAGTTTTTCTTTCTTCATTCTTTCATTTATTCATTCACTGTATATCAAATATGTCTGTGGACTCATTTTATTCAGTAGGTTTTTGATGCTAAAGTCACTCCAGATTTAGCCAATAGGAACCCCTTCAAGCTGGATCATGTGTCCTTTTGACATGTTTCCATTATTTGAGCATTTTGAAACTCCTCTTGTATTTTCCCAGTGTTGGCTCTGAAACAGCCATTTCTTTAAGGAGCCATAGTTCCTTTAAATGGAGAGTGGTATGTAGAACCCATCAGAGTGATACAGATTCAAGAGCCTCCCCACAGAAATAACTAAGATACAGATGGATGTTCATACACATTCCCATACACATGTATATCTTTCTGTATCTATCTATATGTACTAAAACCATTAGTACACACTATTGCTTCAATTTCAGTACAACACAACAGGATATATTATAGACTTTCTGCTTTTTTACTTCTTTGAAAGTAAGAAATATGCCTACCATTATGTACAGTATATTCATTTATTTGCTTAATCTTTATAAATCCACAGTTTTTTGTTATAAAAGTATTTTAATCAAAAATGTTTTTTGTACCCTTTCACATGACAGTACAAAAAATTTTTTTAAGGAAAATTCATGTTTTTAATTCAGAATAGAAGTATGATTTTTCACTTTTAACTTTCTTTGACCTGAGCATTACAGTATTAGCCTCAGATTCTTATTTGGAAGTTTATTTACAAATCCACCAATGAATTTTCCTTTTTTATATTTTTCAAGAGCTGTGCACTTGAGTTTAGTTATGTACCACATTCTAATCATTAAGTAGCAAGCACTTTTATTGAAAATATCTTAATTATCTTTGTCTGGAGAGACTTTTAATTATAAGGTACAGAAAAACAACCAAAGTAGGCTCATATTGAGAGCATATCACTGGATTATGTATCTAAAAAGTACAGATATAAATTTATTTTGGGGCACATTTGATTCCAAGGGTCCAGATCATGCCATCAGCACCTGGTCTCTATCACTTGCCTTTGTTTTCCTTGCCGTGACAAGAAGGCTGTGTGGAGCTCCAGACTTCTATCCTCAGAGCTCTCAGTTGAGTACAAAAAAGCACAACTCTTTATCAGGTAAATAGAGGTATTGGGAATAAACAGCCAAACTAGATTTGTGTAGCTTGGGTCATATGTTCATTCATGAATTATAACCTGAGGGTACAGTGCTCTTTCAGCTAGGTC